AGAACCACATATATTAAATAATGTGCATAAAATCAAATGGATGATCAAATGGCAGAGCTGGTACTCATCTCCCTGCTGAAAGTGAAAGTCCAGTTCATCTTTTCTCTCTCTTTGTACTTTAGGAGTCTGTTATTAAATGTAATTAATAAATAGTGTGTGAAGCTTGCAGGGTTCATTGAAACAGAGACAGCTTCAACAGGACATGGGTTGGAGCAAGGCTAAGGAGCAAGAATCTCTTTCTTCACACGTGAACTATAAAAGCTATTATTTTATTTGAGGTGATGCACCAGCAAATATTTTACCATGAGTGATTTCTAAGACTGATCTTAGTGAGTGGAAAGGATAATAAAATAAATTACATTTTTTGAAATTATATTGAATTTGATATGCACTTTCCAGCTCTTTATCAAGGGCTTGAAAGGCCTCCTGGCATAGAAACAAGATGTGTCTTTGGAAACTGGCACCTTGAGAAGTTGCTCCAAAAGCTCCTAAATTAAAAAACACATAGAAAGGGACCGAAGTGCAAACCAACAGGACTGAGGTGCAAACCAACTGCCAAGCTGAGAGCCCCAGCGGTTACTGAAATCTGTGCTGCCAGACCCCATGCTGCTCCACAGCAGGGTTCAAGGTGCAGGACCCCAGCCTGCAGCACACCGAGCCGCACATCATTTGGTGGGCTGCAGCCTCAGGATCCACTGAGAAGAGCCAATGCAATGTTAGGAAACAACCACGGGTACATTCACTTACCCCTTAAGGTACCTACGTGGGACCATTTTAACTGGTTTCCATCCTGTGATCTCCCTGAGATCACATTTAATTTCAAAAAAAAAGGTGAGATATCTATGCAAAGCATCAGCCCTCAGCAGCACCACTCTGAACACGGTGACCCCGCGGGTGGGGAACGCAGGCAGTGCCACTTGTCAGCAATCGCTTGAAATTTATGAGGAACCACAGGACTAGTAAGTTCTCTTTTGTCATCAGAGATAAAATAAACCCATGAAACACACGCAGCTATGAGTGCCTTCCCTTTCAGCACGGTGCCCCAGACAGCTACTTAGATCCAAGTATTCCTGAAGGCTCCTAAATTCCTCATTTCAGAAGCATGGTCTTCTCCTAGCCCAGATGGTTCCACTCATGCTGCCTCATAAAAAGCCCAAACAACCCCCGTTTGGTCACTCAGTGCCAAGTCTCACTGGCCTTCCTGGGGTTAACAAGCTCAAGTAAGAAGATGAATGTTTTATTTACTAAATTGTCTGTCTTCTTTTTCTTCCGATGCATAGAAACTGCAGAACGGTGTTACTGCTCTTGCAGGCTCTGCTCCCGCATGTCCTTCGGGGGCCTGAAGGGACTCCCGGCACGACAGATTGGAACAGGAGTCAACGCCGTACCCCTGCCGTGCCTCGCGGGGCCCGTGGCAGTTGCAGGGTGACAGTCCCCGAGGATCTCGCCAAGGCACATCCCGCTGCGCACGTGACCGCGGCTTTGTGTGAGGGAAGGATCACCACTGCGCTCGCTGCACAGAGCAAAGGGGGACGGCAGGGCGCTCACATGGGCACAGTACGGAGGGTCGGGGGCAATACCAGCCGTTCCCACCCCAGCCCCTTGTCCCCACTCTCAAACCACCATGGTGCATCCCTCATCTTGCCGTACAACTTTCTGCAGGGCCAGACTGCGAATGCTGCCACTGAGCAGAGCTGGGGAAAAATAACTCCTTGCAGATCCAAGTGAGTATCTGAAGGCCTCTTTAGTAATACCCTGCTCTAATCCTTGTCAGACAGGTTCCTCAGCTAATAAGGGGGAAATGAAACCCTTCTTCCTCTAAAAGACAAATTCCCTTCTCTCTTGCTAATTACCAGTCAATGTAATTCTGAGAATGTGACAGATTCTAAATATGGTGCTATTTTCTCTCTTCATCTCTTTCCATCTATCCTCTCCTACATTCCTATTTCGTCCACCCTCCCTACTTCCCACTACTGGTCTCCAAAACCTGCTAAGAGCTGCTGACTTGACTGTGCAAGCCCCTACTCACTGCTGTTACTAACTGCTTCTCTCCCACACAGATGATAATATTATATTTCTACGGGTTGTGAACTTTCACGTGTCCCTCAAAGGAAAATGAAAAGCAAAGTCTGTGACAGGTCCTTCTTGACTACTTTGATGGCCTTCCATCGGACAGACATCAAAATGATTGTAGCCGCTTCCAATCACCCGTGCTCCATTTGGCTGGCGGGAGGGAGGGGGGAAAAAGAAGCTGCATAGCCCAGCAATGGATAGGGTTGCCCACCCTGTGGCTAGTGTGTGCAGGGACAACGTGGGGAAGAGCAGTTCTGTCCATGCTGCCGGGATTTAAGCACTCACTTTACAGAGCCAGGGAAGGGGATTATAAGGGAACTGCTGTCTGCACTGCAGATGGACACTGCCTCCTGAGGAAGCAGTTTCAGCAATGAGCTACAGCTAAATAGTAAGTAAAGGTGGGGCGGGCGTCTCTAATGATGGATGAGCTGAGAATGTGGCAGAAAAAGAGGTTCAGGCATCTCTATTGTTATTACAAAGTCCTACTGACTGTTACGTACAGATAACAGATGTACAAACTCTGGATTTGTCTTCACACAGAGCCACAGTAACTGTCCGTGGCTGCAGGGAAGGTTTCAGTTAAGAACCTCTCTCTGGCCAGGGGAGCAGCTGATTCAGTGCAAGCTGCCACAGCCTGCACACCCCGAGTACACAAAATCCCCACTTTCCATTTTGGAGCCCAGATTGGGAAGTCTCCACCTACTCCCATTTGTATTCTACAGCCAGATTTCCTGCATAACAATACACACTCTCAGTTAAAGACTGGAATTTAATATATGTACAATGATTACTTCCTTTGGTAGCAAATAGCCCTCATTTTCCTCAGCCTATTTCCTCTCATCTGGTGTTCATTTAGATTCTTCCTGCATTTCACACACAATAAACTGCAGCCCTTAAGAAGTCATACAAAAAGAAAATACCTAAAAATCCGCAAACAAACAAGCCTCTTCTGTCCCCTATGTTTAAATAAATGTTGCCGCACAAATCAGCAAGAGCCAGGGAGCTGAGCAGAAAAGCCAAGTGCTCCGAGTGTGTAAACACGGACTTTAACTATGCTCTTTTCCAGCACAGGGAGCTGGCTGTGCAGCCCGTCACTACCTGCGTGGGTAACAGCGTGTGTCCTGCGTGGCTGTGTTTGCTTTGCCTGATGGCCTCTGCTCTGGACACCTTTCTGTGCTAAAAGGTAGGAGGTTGGGACATACAGCGAGCAGGGGCCCTGCTCATCCTCCAGCTGCTCTGCTCGGGGCTGCTTCCCAGGCTCCGACTTCACAAGGCCTGTCCTGCACATCCAGGGATCGCTGGTGCTCAGAGGCTGCGGAGAGTTCCCTGTTCGGGACTGCTGCAGGAGTGGGAATAGAACAAAACTCTCCAGATTGTTAGCAGGGCACAAAGAGGCATTCGTGCAGGAAACACATCCTGGAGCCTCCTGACTACTTTATATCCAATTAGCAGAATAGACACAGACTGGTAGTTTTAACCACATCTCACTCTTCACGAAAACTGAGCTGCTGTGTGAGCACAAGACTTCCCCATTGCACTGTTTCTAGCAAACAAGTTATCTAAAAAAAGATACACAGCTTGTTACAAGCTTTAGGAGGGAGCTGCCAGCTCATTTATCAAAGTGACAGATGCGATGAAAATTGGCCAAAGGCTTGAAGAAAAAATAAGAGAAGTGAGGGGTCAGGGTGAGGGAAGCAGACGGGGGCTGAAGAGGAAGGCAAAGCCCTCTGGAGCCTTGGCCTCCTTGAGGACCCATTAAAAGCTTATGTTGCTTGCACCATTTATAAACAAGGCCTCGGCTTGGCCACGATACCCTTCCCGGTCTCGGGCGCTGTGGAAGCGCCGCCGCTGTCCTCCTCCGCGGCACGGCACCAGACGTGGCAGCAGCTACAAATCAAGCGGCCCTGATTTATGAGCTCCCCGCGTCTCGGGAGGTTTGTTGTGATTCCTGGGTGACCTCGGTAAACCACCTCATCAATAGCACACCCGAAGGCGGCCTGAGCGCCCCGGCCAGGCGCTCGGCCTCTCCTCCGCATCCCTCTGCTTTTGTTATTACCCTCCCTGTCATCAACACAGGAGCTTTTAGTATGAAAAACGCCGCCTTTCTCCGTCAAAGTGTTTTTCACTGCCTTCACTTAGTGGCTCCGCAGCAGACTCGTGCTTTTGCTGAACGTTGCGTGACACGATAAAAGATATTAGCATTTCTGGGAAATTGCAGCCCTGTTGAGTATAAAAGAATTTGTTACAAGGGTACATAGCCATTCATTTTTGGATTCCCTTCCTGTATGCCAGACATATTAAGAACAAGCAAGAAATGAATCAACCCCTGAAGAAGACTAATGAGGCATCTGTAATGAGACATTGAAATTTCCCCTCCCGCTGGAGCTCAGTCTGTACCGGGTGGGTAGCACACGATGGCACTTCTTGCCCTGTAGCAGATTGTTAAAGAGAAAGCTCCATCCGCAGAGGAAAGCGCTGTCCCGCAGGGAGCGGCCGGCCAGGAGGCTGGGGCTGGACCCTATGGAAAGCAGCACTTTGTGGAAACCTCCTGCGCTGTCTCTGTGCAGAGCAAGGATGGCAGAGACGTGGCCTGCCCAGATGGCAAGGCAGCGACACGGGACAAAACAGGCGCATATTTTAACAGTAAAGGGTTTCTGCACGTGTCAAGACGCAGAAGAAAGACAGTTTGCGATGTTGCCACATAGAATAAAAGAAAAACAGAAGCAATCTGGAACAGTGCAAAGGCAGCAGAGGCACCTTTGTCCCATTCAGGGACACTTTCTCTGGAAGAGCCGCTGCGCTGGACTTGGATGAGTTCCACTGGTGAGGCTGAAGATTCGAGCCCAGGGTAGCCACACAACAGCAGCAGGGATGTCTCCTCGCGGCACACACACCCCGTTATAAAGCAACCACCAGGGAAGGAGCGGGAGGAGCCAGGGGAGCAGGTGCTGCTCACTAGGCCGGGCACCACGGTCCCTGGCAGTGCCACTGCCTGCCCCATCCGGAAGGGAAGCGCAGCTGGGCACGGGTGGACAGACGGGCAACAACCCATAGTGACGGGAGGGGGAAGTCTCAGGAAACAGAGTGGAGATGCAGCGAGCCCTGAAACTGGATGGCCACGTCCCGGGCACACGAGCGAAGGGCAGAGCCTTCAGGCAGCTGCGCTGTGCCCCGGCATGGCGCTCGCAGGCAGGGAAGCGCGAGGAGCAGCACGGCCGCGTCACCAGCTGCGCGGGGCGCTGCTGCCAAAGCCCCGTTCAGCAAGCGCTGCCTCGTGGGCGCTGTGAGGCCAGGGGACACTGCCGGCCCCGGAGCAAAGTGCTGGCAGCGTGTGGCTGCAAGGGAGAGCGGCCGGCCGCTTCCCGAGGGATTCGTGCAGGGAGAGGCTCCCCCGCGGCTGGGGGGGACCCGCTTCCCCTCGCTCGGCAAGAGCGGGGCTGGCATGCCACAAACGCACAATCCTCAGGGCAGCATCAGTCACATTTAAGATCACTTGGAGTTGCCACTGCCAAATGCTGCTTTTCTAATTAATTGCACTGGAATGCACTTAAGCAAGGCCCAGATCAAAGAATCAACTGCACAGATTGAAATAAATCCTGTCTGTGTTGCTAATGCCTTGGAAATGGATGACTTGCTAAGCATTCAAAATCCCGGGTAGCAGTGATTTAAAACTACAGATAATGTGTGACTCTTTCAAGGGAATAGAGTTCAGAGTAAGGAAGAAAAAGCTTCCTTCATTTGCTCATAGATGATTGAGTGAAGGCAAATTGTTCATCTCATTTCTGAAGCTTGTCCATCTGAAATTCTTTTTTCCGCTTCCCTGTCATCAGAAACCACAGTGCATGACCCACAGTTTTCATTGAGACAAAACTTTATGATTAACACAGATTTCTTTTTTTAATTTTTTTTATGAATGTTTAGAATCTTTTCAAAATAATGATAAATAAAAGTGACTGGGGACGGATGCGTTACCAGTTGGTGCAATTAATCACTGACTCCTTTTTGCACGAGCTGCTCTCCCATGGTTTAGAATATCACCAGGATGCCTCTGCCTGATTTTACGGTTTGGTAATCCAGCCATTGCCATCCATGATTCGGCAATAAACCACGCTACTTAATGCAACGGTTAGAGACGTTCGGAAGTTCGTTGTTCCCTGCCCTTCAGGAGCCAGACAGCAGCTGCAGACACCGGGATTAGCTGGGAGAAAAATCCGTGCTCGGCACCGTAAAGGCTCCCCTTTCCCCGTGTCAATGCCTCGCCTTCCACGACATGCTGCCAACCTTGGTATGCCCACACTCGCGTACGAGGCACCAGGGCTATGTACGCAAACACAGCTGGCCTCCCTGCGCCGGAGCAGCAAGGTGCTTTGGCCTAAAACACAGAGATTCTCAGGGAAATCGAGGCCTGGCGCCATGCACGGCAAAGGCAGAGGAAGGAGCTGCAGTTGAGAGGGACAAGAGGGCATCGCTAATATGGAAAATTAATACTGAAAGAATCAGCACAGGAAAGATCTGCAGTGTTCAATCCGGGAAGACAAGGTCTCCTACGGGAGAATTCCCCAGAGGCAGGAACAGCAGCACGAAATAAAAAAAAAAGAAAAAGAAAAAGAAAAGAAACCTAATCACATACTCTATGTTTAAAAATTAAAAAGACTACCAGATGCAATTACATTCATGATTAAAAGATCTAACAGAAGCATATTTAAATTCATTAACTTAGTCCACACTCGGCTACCTCAGGAGACCAGCTGCTCCTGCAGTACAGGGCAGCAAAATACAAACTACATCTTGCTTGTATTTGATCAAAACCTTTTGGAAGCTTCAGTGATCGGGCTGTTAACATCTCTTAGGTGATAATTAGGCTCTAGGGGCAGCAAACATTGTTTGGGGAAGAAAATGCACTGTGGAAACCTAAGTGGTGGGGCCTTCTGCCTTGCGAAGGAGCCCGTTACTCCCTTGTATAAAAGGCAGGCAAGGGCAAAAGGAGGCCTCCCCTCCGCGGGTGCCTCCGCGCCCAGCAGGAGCTCTCCCCGCCTGAGCTGTTCCCTGAGGCTGGGCTCAAACCTCACAGTGATGTCCTCAGCAGGGAGGAGCGGCTTGGCGGCTGCTGAGGCGCCGCGGGGCAGGCCGGCCTCCCCGCTCTGCGGGCACACGTGGCGCACGCAGCTCCATGGCTGTCCGAAGCGCCACGGGGCAGCCCGACCGCCCCACTCTGTGGGCACACGTGGCATACG